AGCATTTTGAATGCGTAAATAATGGATGTGTCCATGTTTCGCAGGTGAAGAGAATATGGAAGAAATTTTGTACACAGAATTCGAAAATGATAATGTCAGGAGGACAATGTGAATGTTGTGGAAGGTAACACGGAAGGAGGAGATAGTTTGACTACGCTTGAGGTTAGCGTGAAGTTCAAAGATGAAAAAGAAGTATATGAGTTTTATGCGAGATATGCTTATGCCGTGGGTTTTCTGATTAGGAAAAGGACTTCATCGAGGGATGATGCTGGGGTTTTGAAATTTGTCACGTTCACATGCAGTCGTGAGGGACTAAAAAGCAGTAATTCAAGCACTTCTCTGAAACCGCAGCCAACAATTTAGATGGGCTGTAAAGTTAGAACATTTGCATCTTTAGATATCCATGGTTACTAGAAACTTAACACTGTCCACCTCGAACACAACCATGAGACAAGTCCTACTAAGTCGAGGTTATATCGGTACAACCGAGTGTTGAGTGCCCATTTGAAATGGAGGCTTGAAGTGAATGACATAGCAAGAATACCGTTGCATAAAAGTTTTAACTCTGCAGTCATTGAAGCAGGTGGTTACGAGAATATGACGTGTGTTGAAAAGGATTGCCGTAACTACATTAAACAAGTGAGACGACTTAGACTTGGTGAGGGTGATGCAGCTGCAATACAGTCTTACTTTTCTGAAATGCAAGCACAATGCTCGGGATTTTTCTTTAGTATTGACTTGGATGATGATTCACGGTTGAAGAATGTCTTCTAGGTAGACAACCGGTGTAAGCAAGCATATAAAGAGTTCGGGGATGTCATTACGTTCGATACAACTTATCTTACGAATAAGTATGGCATGCCCTTCGCCACGTATGTTGGCGTTAATCATCATGAGCAATCGACTTTGTTGGGTTGCGGTTTGTTTGGTTGTTCAGGACATGGCTTAAGTGCATGGGTGGGAAAGCTCCGCATGAAATAATTACAGATCAAGATAGAGTTATGCAAAATGCAATTGAAATAATTTTCCCAAATACAAAACATAGGTGGTGTTTGTGGCATATTTTGAAGAAGTTGCCAGAAAAATTTGGATACCACGTGGATAAAGCTTCGATATTTTCAACTATACATGTACTGGTTTATGATTCACAGTCTATTGAAGAATTTGAGGAAAGTTGGAGAGATATGATCAAAATGTATAAGTTGCATGATAACGTTTGGTTGTCCGAATTGTACGAGAACAGAGTTCGTTGGGTGCCCTATTTCCCGAGAACAACCTTTTGCGCTAGTATGTTAACGACACAAAGAAGTAAAAGTATGAATGCCTTCTTCGATGGTTATGTACATGCAAAGACATCATTGAAACAGTTTGTCGAGCAGTACGAACGAGCACTACGGAATAAGGTTAAAAATGAGTTTATTGCTGATTTTAAGTCATTCTCTTAAGTCTTACCGTGTGCAACATCATACAAAATTGAGAAGCAATATCAGTCATACTATACCATTTCGAAGTTCATAGAGGTTCAATCTGAGTTTACGGGAAAGATGTATTGCGATCTCATATTTGCAGTAGAGATATATATGGGGATGAAGTATGAAGTACGTAAAGACGTAGTCTGTGGCGAGCGATGAAAGAAAACAATATTTTTGGTGTGGTTTAGTAGAGAGAAATGTGAAGTAAATTGCAATTGTCACTTGTTCGAGTTCTGGGGAATATTGTGTAGGCATGCGATTGCAGTTTTGATGCGTAATGACTTTACTGTCATGCCGGATTGGTACATTTTGCGGAGGTGGAGGAAAAATGTTACCGGGGCACACACGAGGGTCGCACGTTCACTACAATGGTTTGGTTACCACTCCAGCACAGATGAGGTATGACGACATGTGTCATTCGTTTGCAAAGGTGGCAAACCTTGCAGCAGACAATGAAGGGAAGTTTGGTGTGATCATGGATTGCATACAACCTGGGAAGAAAAAACTCAGTTCAACAAAGTTCAGTAGTAATAACATTTCGTAGTGTATTCCATCTGAAAAAATAGGAAACGGGATTGTAAGGGATCCGAAAGCATCGAAGAGGAAGGGAGCACCCAGGACTAAATGGAGAAAAGGCCCGTTGGAGGCGAGATTGTATAATCAAAGGTATATTCTAATGTCACTCTTGTATTCACTTTCTGTTGTATAGTAATTGCCGGTGATTATGGTGCACATGTAGGCACGATCGAACCAAACAAAAGGAAAGAGTCTGATACTGAAGCATAGTAATATCCCCAATTTGACGGTATATTGTTCGTTTTTAATTGATGTGGTTTTTTATTATTTTTGTTATGGGCTTCTTGATTGATTGCTAGACACTTTGTTGCAGACTAAAATATCTATCCACAGCCAGGCTGGAATGCCACTTTAGGAGGCATCTGGTTCGACCCAGTTCAATAGTCCAACCTTTAACCCATTGCCTTTTCTTGTGCACGTCCCAAGCCATTTTTCAGAAAACTGATAACTCGAATGTAATGACAGTGACTTTTGTAAAGTATCTACTTTTGTAATTACGGTGACTTTTGTAAAGATCGATCACAATGTTATTACAATGACTTTTGCAAATTATCCACTTTTGTAATTGTTCCCTGTCATGTTTGAACTATTGAATGTGACTTAATTGTAAGGGATCTTTCAATTTTGCGTAATGAAAGCTTTGATTTTAATTTGTGCATTAACTTATGTTTCAAGTGTCGAATGGTTTTGCTTTTATGATGAGTTTGCCTTCCAATTTACGGCGATTAATAAAGGCCGTTATGGCTCGTTCAAAACTCATGTGAAACAGTATACCTGTGGATGCACATTAAATGAGATTCAACTATGCATATTAATAACTACTGAAATAACAACAGAAGTCTGGAATTTTCCATTACACCACAGATAGATTTCTATCAGAACAATGCTTCCAAAGTCTACATCACCAAAAAAAATACATATTACAGAAAAGACTACATCACAAGAAAAAAAGACATATTACATGACTTAGCCAACTACACTATGCCTTGTCCTTCCCCTTATTGTCTCGTTCAACAGGTGGTTTTCCACGGTGAACGGTGAAGTTCATGTTCACAGAAATCAAAAGTTCCTCGTCGTCATTAAGCCGAAATTGAGATTCGAATGTTCGAGACAAATCGTCAAACTTCTTTCTGTGTC